GTGCCCCAGGAGGAATGGAACCAGAACTGTATGCGACAGTAAGAGGTAAGGGGCACAGAGGATGCAGGAACTGGCAGAAGCTGCAGGAGGCAGTCAGGGAGGAAACAGAGGCTGCAGAGGAGCAGGGGCTAAGGCACCACAGGGTGGCAGAGGCAGGCACAGGGAGGGCATGCTGCCCTCCCCTCCCCAGGCACACCTCCATGCCACTGTTTTCCCTGTTACAGCAGTAGGGAGAACAAATTTAATATGATCCTTTAATAATTAGATTCTCTATATGGAAAATTATAACAAATTTATAGTTTTCCATATGTAGAATCTAATTATTGAGAGATTGTCTTGAATTCAAAGTAGCCTTGGATTCAGGTAAATGCAGTGCATAGATTATCACAAATTGTACCCCAAAATGTATTTTTATTATATGGCTCCCATATATGTTTTTGATACAGTTTTGTGGCTACGTTACTGAAAGAAAAACTAAACAAAAGGAAAAAGGAGGACCTGGAGCATTATAGATTGATCCATCTTACTTCAACACCTGGGAAATCACTGGAACAATTTACAAAATAAATTAATTTGTAAACATCTGGAGGAAGAAAGGCAATCACAAGCAGCCACCATGGATTTGTTAAGAACAAATCACGTCAAGTCAATCTGACCTCCTTTTTTGACAAAGTAACTAGTTGGGTAGATGAAGGGAATGCAACGAACAGTATATTCTCATAGGTAAATTGGGGGAATCTGTTCTGGATAAAATTACTACAAGATGGACACATAATTGGCTCAAAAGTCATATACAAAAGGTAATTATAAATTGACTATTATTATAAACAGAATGGGCAGAGGCTCTGAGTAGAGCTACATAGGGGTCTGTCTTTGCTGTAGTGCTAATTAATAAGCTTACTAATGATTTGGATGCCAGAACAGGGAACCTCCTGGTTAAGTTTGCAGAGGATACAAAACTAGGCAGAATTGCAAACACTTTGAAGGATAGGAGTAGAATTCAGAAGAATCTTGACAGTTTAGGAAGCTGGGTGAGGGACAAAAGTATGAAATTCAATGCAGACAAATGTAAGGTGTTATACATAGAGTAGAATAATCAAAAGCAAACTACAAAATGGGAAATAACTGGATGGATAGAAGCTTTGCTGAGGCATTTGGGTGTGTGTGTGAAGCAGTTGCAGGGAAAAAAACAGCAAATTAAAATTTTGGGTTGCATCAACAGAACTAACAGGTATAAAACATGGTGGTGCATGTCTAGTCAGCACTGGCCAGGCCTCATTTGGAGTAGTGGGTGCAGTTTTGGGCTTCATACTTTAAGCAGGATGTGGAAAAGTAAAAGATGGTCCAGACATGGACAACAAATGAAAGAAGGGGTTGGATAGCAAGCCATATGAGGAAAGGTTGAAAGAATCAGACGTGTTTAGCTTGGTGTAAAGGCGTTTAATAAAGGGACATGCAGCAGTTTTTCAAATATTTGAAAGGCTGCCATAAAGGAAAGAGAACAACAGTTCCCCGTTCCTACAGAGGACAGGGTACCAAGCAATGCCTACATATGGCAGCAAAGTAGATTTAGATCAGATCTTAACAAAAAACCCTTCCTTACTAGAATAATAAAGCAATGGAATAAATTGTCCAGGAAAGTTGCAGAAGTTCCTTCATTGGATGGTTTTCAAGAGAAGGCTGAATAAGTATTGGACTGGGATGATTTAGAAGTAGCACTCCTGCTTTTGTGTAGGTTAGAGCAGACAACCCTTAAGATCCCTTCCAACCCTACAATACTTGGTGAATCTATTCTATCACATATGCATTGAGGGTTAAATACTGGCAGTTGAGTAGGGTCAGGAAGTTCAATACTAAAGCTACTTATTCTGTAAGAACAGAGTATGAATGAAAGAATCTTTGATAGAAGATTAGACAGACTTTAGAGAAAATGGATTTTATAAGTTACTGGAAGGACAGACCAGAGAATGTTCATACCTCAGCATCTGCTTACATAATACTTGGTTGTCAACAGACTGAACTTCATATTCTCTCTCTATTAAATCTTCAAATAACTAAGATTTTTCTAAGAGCCCTATAATTGACCTCAACCTACTACAGATTAGATCTGAAATAATCATATGCTTCCAGAGTAAAAGAAAATGAGTTTTAGAGCAGGAAACCACAGAAATGTTGCCTCACTGATACTATCTCTAAGTAAAAAACTGATACGGGTGGGAGGGACAAGAGGAAGAGGTTGACACCCCTGCATTATTTTAAGTTATATATCTCTGTACCAATTCTAACATGTTACCAGTGTGTACTCAAATGCAGGCCAAATGTGGAAGCAGAAATCTTAGGCTTTATGCAGTATTACTTTTCCATGTGAGCAGCTAAAGTTATCTTTAACTAATGTTAAGCAAACAAAAAACTTAATTCAAGATTCAATGCATTTCACAATGACATTAAGACAGTCATCCAAAACAATTCTGCTTCATTTTAGGATTAATAAATCAGTACTCTCCAACTGATGACCTGTGGGAAACAAAGCCCCCAAACAATTAACATACAGCCTGCTGGCTCCTGGCATGTCCACCACTGCCCCCACTCCCGCCATTGCTTCTGCCATGGCAAATGGGTTCTTTAGGCACTGCCCCATTCCCACCTCTTCCAGCTTCAGTGATGCAGAAGGAGGAGGCTGGGATGCCCAAGCAGCACATGCAGTGGGGGAAGGGGCCAGGCTGTTCACACCATATGCAAGGAAGGCAGAAGCCTAGGCTTAATCTTCCAAAAACAATGGTTAACTCTAATTATCAGAGCATGTTGGAGGGAATATTTGCATTTGTACACTGCAGTTATATCTTATGAATTGTTCTCTTAAATACTCTTATGATGAGCATATTGATTGCACACATATTGCACTCCATAAACACTTGCCCCTCAGTTAAATTTCTCCATAACCAGAGCAGTGGTTAAAGTAATTCTACCATACAACATCTAAGACAGAAGGAAACTTACCGGTTCTGTTCTTTCCTTTGCTTGATTAATTGAATTAGTTCCTTGTCAAAGTATTCTCCTTCATCTTCTTCTTTCCCTTCTTCTTTCCTGTCATAGGTATAGACATTGTCTTTGTGTAGCTGGCTGGAGATGTGCTTGGCATAAGCTGATAAGCCCACCACTGTCACCCTGCACACACGACACTCATGGTTGCTGTCCCTGGGGAAAAAGGCAGAGGGTGGACTTTCAATTTTGCCCACAGGCATGACAGACAACTCAGATCTTACTGCGTTTCCTCTGAATATGCCAGTTTCCTTATCAATTGCTTCTCCATGAAGCACTAAAATTTTGCAAGATACATTAAAATTATTTGATTTTTCGTTCTTTCTTTCAAAGAAACTTTTAGCCTTTTGGATGGTCAATTTTAAAAGATTCTTTTCCAACAATCAAGAGGTAAAAATCTTGGGACTAAAGCAGCATAAATTAGGACACGGGATTCTTCTTGAATTGTTGTACTCAAAACCTTTTCAGAGGAAACATAATGAGAGCGGAGGCAGAGTGAAGGGCCTCAGAGCTAGCAAAAGCTGCTCTGAAGCACATCCATAGTGCCAGCTGCACTAGGGAAGCCTGGTGACAGCTTCTAGATTTAATCTCTGCCTCAAGCCTTGCCCCACTGAAATCTAACAGAAAGAGGAGGGAGTACATCGCTGCAACCAATCCTATCACAGTGTAACCTAAACTGGGACAGCTGAGACCTCTGCCTGGAATGCTAAGACTCCACAGTACAGCAAATGATGGCAGGGCGTCTTCAGTTCACTGTACTTTATTTGGTTCAAATGTGCATGAGGTCTGTTTTCTGCTTTAGAAGGCTTATCTTAAAAAATACATAATTATTTCAGGTGGAGGAAGCTGACAGCTGAATCAGGCAAATGTTTTTACTCATGTTTCAGTGAACGCTGCAGTATAGCAACTACCAAATACACCCCCAAAACACTCCAAGTCCCCCCGCCCCTGAACACTCCCATATACTGCTATGACCAATCTTTAGATCATTTAACTAAAAAAAGAAGAGAAAACTAGGTCTGCTAGCAGGAAAAGTGAAGGTCATGTAGGAATCCTCCCCCAAACTCAAACGTGTATGTGCGTACTACACCAAATTAATAGGACCAACTAGGTTATGAGGCTAGGCCTCAAAACTAGCATTGATAATGCTTTTTTGTACCCCCAAACACCTAATTATGAAAGCAGAACTGAATTCTCTTATGACCCAAATGGAGATAAGTGCATGTAGTGTGGAATTTAGAGTCAAAAGATAAAGCTAAAAAGCAAAGCCGAAAAACCCATTTAGACGAGTTCTTTGGACAAATGACTTCTTAAGCCTTGCCCCACAGCAGAAATATGTAATAAGTAGTGTTCTAATGAATTGAACACACCTACTATGTTTTAAAAAACTGAATATGAACATCAGAAGTTCAATACCAGATTATTTGTTTTAAATATTCATATTCCTATACCAATTCCCTTAATTCAAATGATAACAAAAATTCTATCCCATGGATCAAAATAGCACTAGGGTGTAAAGTATTTCAGTCAAAGGAAGTGGGGGCCAAAGAATCTTGTTTCTATCTCCACTACTTTCCAAACACAAAACAAATCTAAAAAGAGAAAGAAAATCTCCCAACCACAAGACTTTGAGGTGGCAGCCTTATTTGAACCTGGCCTAAGTCAGAGCATCACCAGCGGGCTTTACAAAAGAAAAAGTCTGTATCTTTTTTTAAAAGGCTTTCAAGTGAAAAACAGATTAATAGAAAAGCAGGGAAGATTTTTTTTATTTTTTTCTATAAATAAAACTGGGACTAATATTAAACACAGTTAAGACACTTAAACAATAAGCCAGTTATTTAGAGGTGAAATTAGTATAAATTTAAGTTAACATACAATGCTCATGTGTTTCCACTTTCAATCATTTTCAGATCAAGTGAGCAGATCACAAGTAAAATTATAATTTCCCTAATACTGGTTTGGCAAACTCAACCTGGCTTGTGTGCGCCAAGCTAAATTCTCCCTTTTGCACCCTTTGCTATCAAGAATAAGGATTATGCAGGACAAATTCTGCTGTGCAATACATGTACTACTACCTCATTATTTTCAGTGGGTTAGCATAGATTTAATCAACACATGGCAAACAATTTTGCAGGGACAACATATGTACACTTAAGCTATGAATTGCCAGTGGGTCTCTTGCTTGAAAAAAGTACTGCTTATACGTAATTTCTTGGACAGGAACTATACTTTAAAGACATTTTAGTCAGAAACAACAAATCTCCTGGGTACCTAGAATGCATGATACCACTGTAAAGTATTTCAAAATCCGGTGCAAGATTTAAATACAGTGTAAGAACAGTACTGTATTGCTTTTTTGTTACCAACTGGTATGTTAAAACCAACTCTGAGAACTTCCAATTTCTGAACCACCAGTTCCAAAACTGTCTCCTGAAACACTTGACAGACTTAAGAAACAGGCAGGATTCGTGTCCAGCCAGACGGTTCCAACGAACAACTTTAACATATATCAAATATTTTCTTCATACTACCTTTTCATGGAAATGATTGTTCAAATTACCACTGGAAAGTTATTTAGTCAACAGTAGGAGGGTGGGGAGGAGACAATATCATGACAAATGGGACAAACCCCATCCACACTATAAGAGTGTTTAAGAATCCTAACCTTTAATTCCTGTTATGAATTTCAGGATGCACAACTGATATCACTCCCCCCATACAGATGCACTTTTACATTTTTACTTAGAGTTCATAGACCATCTTTCCTTAGAGTATTCTTATCTCATTTCCAGTAGTTGTTATAGTATTACTTATAGAACTACATGTCAGACACACATTACACCTATGACTACTGCTGCCATTTCTTATATTCCAATTTAATATTCTCAGAAACAATGAAGAGCAAGTCTGGGATAAGAGCCATAAGCTCGATGACTTAACAAGTATCTATCGAGTTGATTATTTTGTCTATTTTGTCCTGAATTTAAGTTTTCACTTAAAAACTGAAGCAGTGGTTTTTAGGACAGAAAGAAGCATTAGTCTTTCAAGCAAAGCAGCACAGGGATAGAATGGAACCATATGAATCCTTCCAGGTTATGGACTCTTTAATGGCAGATCCTGTATCCCAGACATGCAGAATGGAAATAAAGAGCCTGAGAAATCTGCAAAAAAAGCTGAAGTTAGACCAATCTCTCTGATAAGTGATAAAATGCCAAAAACAGACCGCCCACCAAGAAAAACTCCACTTCCAAAACTAATGGCCATACTGTTGGTAAGCTGCAAAGGCTCAACACGAGTCTCTTAAATAAACACAGAAAACACGCAGTTATTTTGACTTATTGGCCTAAAGAGATTCCTCATAAAACACCCTGACTTCATTAGACAGCTAAATTACAATCAGGGTCCCACATTCTTAAAGGGAGCAGAACATATGATAGACTTTGCTTTGTGCCAAGGAAGCATGCTCAAGCATCAAAGCTTTCACTTAAGAATTTCTAGCCTATACAGTTACGTAAGTTAGCTTTAAAAATGTGACCAGAGTTTATGCTGATATGTCTTCTTCAGTCTACAAAAAGTCTGAAAGGTGTGAACACTTGGGAAACGTTAAGATCTTATTTCTCTGGTGATTTAAAAAAAAAAAAAGATGAAAACTAAAACAACACTTTTGACATTTCATAGCATCAACTTCAGCAAAGATCCCTCTTTCAATATTTTCCTGTTTCACATAATGTAATGATTTCAAAAGAATCAAGTTGAAGACTAAAGGAGTTCAATAATGAACTCAAAACAATCCAACCTTCAGCTGGTGTAACTACCAAAATGTTACAAAAGAAGTCTAAATGAAATCTTAGAAAAATCTGCTTAACAAGGTGGATATTTGTTAGTATAAAAAAGTTATGCACCTTGAAGTAGTTTTATGTCCAGTATCTCTCTTCAAAGAAATAGCAAGTTAGCTGGGGAATGAAGACTTCGAAATACAGAAGTTACTGAAAGGAGTGATAAATTAGAAGGGAAGTAGTACCTCCACAGTTCAAAATACAAAATACAACAACTGGACTTTAAAGCTGCCAGCTGCACCACTTTCATCCCCTAAATCTAATTTCAAACTCAATAATTGCAAAAAGGATTCAAAATAACTATCATCTTCAATTATTGTAGAAGACATCCAAAAAAATAGCCAGAAGACAGGAGGCCTGCAACAACTGCTAATGTTAATGCTGATGACATACTGGTTTCAGAGCAACCCCTTCTCAGCTGTTCAGCCACAGAACAAGTGTCCTCTATTGCTGAGTGAGAAAGATGACAGCAGTACTAAGATACTTTTGAGCTCAGGCATTTTTTTCAGATCTCTCTCAGCCCTAAAGACAACAAGGTAAAGATAAGCAGGAAACTACTGGTAAGGAAGTTTGAAAAAAGCAGCAATGAAAGTTCAGGTCTTGTCTACACTCGTATGGGCCTGTTGACAGATATTCTGGCAGCAGACAGCAGCCACCACTGCCCATGCCCATCTACACCCCAAAGTGCTCCTGGTCATTCCACAGCTGCAACTGTGCCACCAAAACACAAAGTACATCCTGTAGACTGCTGAAGAAATAGTACTACCTAGCAGAAGACAAGAGTATCTATACAACTGTCCACTCCCAGATGGCAGCTGAAGCTGTCTTTCACTGTAGAGAGACAGTATGGCTCGCCTGATAGAAAGATTTCCTGATGCCAGAAAGCTATGTGCCCAAAGTTTTGCAAGCAGAATGCTGTAGCATCAGCCAGGCCTAGGCCTCAAAAGGATGATAAGAACAGAATCAAAAAAACAAGAAACAAATGTAGGACAAGACAATGGACCTGAGCGAGAGACAAGAAGTGTGGCTGTGAAGGGGCAAGAGCCATTGTATACTGCACTGCACTCTTTACTGTGGAGCGAGGAAGGAGTAAACAGCTTGCCTTAAAAAGCTACAAAACATCATAGATTCATAGAACTAGGGTCGGAAGGGACCTTGTAAATCATGAGGTCCAACCCCCTGCCTTGGGCAGGGGAGAAAAAACCAGGCTCAAATGACCCCAGCCAGGTAGACATCAAGCCTCTTCTTAAAGACCCCAGGGTAGGAGCAATCACCACCTACTCTCTAACAACTTGTGGCTGTTATTCCTTGTTATGCCAGGGGGCGCTAGGGGAAACAAGGTCTCTCCCAAACCCTGCTGGTCCCCCCTAGTGAGTTTATAGATGGCCACCAGGTCCCCCCCTCAGCCTTCTCTTGCAAAGGCTGAACAGGTTAAGGTCCTGTAGTCTCTCTTCATAGGGTCTGCCCTGCTGTCCCCGGATCATGCAGGTGGCCCTCCTCTGGACCCTCTCAGTGCTGTCCACATCCCTCCTGAAGTGCAGCGCCCAGAACTGAACACAGTACTCCAGCTGTGGCCTGACCAGTGTCACAGAGGAGGAGGATCACCTCCTTGGCCCTGCTTGAGATTCATCTGTGGATGCATGACAAGGTACTGTTAGTCCTACCGACAGTGACCTCGCATTGTCGGCCCATGTTCATCCTGGAGTCAATAATGACTCCAAGAACTCTTTCTGCCACTGTGCTCTCAAGAAGGGAGTTTCCCATCTTATAAGTGTGCTGCTGGTTCCTACTGCCCAAGTGCAGCACCCTGCACTTGTCAGTATTGAAACCCATCCTATTTTCATTATCCCACCCCTGTAACCTGTCCAGGTCCTGCTGTAATATGTCCTTTCCTACCAGCATGCCCACCTCACCCCAAATCTTGGTATCATCAGCAAATTTAAACAGGCTGCTTTTCACCCTGTCATCCAAGTCACTAATAAAAAATTGAACAGTGTGGGCCCAAGGACTGAGCCCGGGGGGGGACTCCACTGCCCACTTCCCTCCAGGTCAAAAAAGACCCGTCCACCACTACCCTCCAAGTACGACCCTTCAGCCAATTTGCAATCCATCTGACTGCGTAGGCATCAATGCCACAGTCACCTAGTTTTTTTTTTAATGAGAATGGCGTGGGAGACAGTGTCAAAGACCTTGCTGAAGTCCAGAAAGACGACATCCACTGGGACACCTGCAACCGTTAAGCACATTCTTTGCTCAGCAGAATATCAGTTTTGACATCAGAAAATCTATACACCTTGCATGTATTTGTCACCATAAAAACATGGCTTGGAAGACATTAACATTTAACAATTAAAGGATCATCTGATTTTTGAATTTTTGCTTTTAATACGATTTCAAATAGTGTTCTGAAGCTGGAGGCTTCATAATCTAGTATACAGAACACTGACTAGTCTTAAGGGACCTAGATTCTCTTCCAAGGTCTCTCATCTGTTGTAAAACCTTAGGCAAGTCTCTTCACCTCTCCTGGCATTTATACACATGTTCTGGGATGAGGAGCAGGGGGACACTTTAATAAGCCCACAGTGTCAGTATCAGCATCCCCATGCTGAAAAATATGAGCTTTAGTTAAAGCATCCCACCACCATTTTTCAGCCTAGGTATGCTGATATATGTGACGCTGGAGCGTGGTAATTACCACACTCCAGCAGACTCAATTAATCAAACCTGCTCTGGTGTGCAGCACATCAGAGCAGCCTTGCTGCATGTGTATAGGAGCCCTCTGCATCTATTCCTACTCCCACCCAACATGCATGTTCTCTTAAAGGTAGGGATTTTTTCTATCCAAATCAACAGCCTTTATACCACCTAGCACAGTGGGACTGAGCTCCCAGTTAACATATTTCACATACTATGTGCGTATCATGGGGATGCGTTTCAAATGAAAATGAAGTTATGCATAAATCAGAATGTCTAAATCTAACATAGTGAAGTTTTAAAATACCTTGTTTTGCAGGATGATTAAGAAAATGTTTACACTGTAGGAGACAGTGGCATATTCCTCTGGTGCAGCTTCTCTAGAGGATTTAGCCCAACAGCATATTATCGCGTTGATTCAGACCATACCTTTCACTCACTCCTAACAACATTGTAAGGCACTAGGAAAATTAAGTCTGACCTAGACAAACAGCTGAAACAAATTTAGGGACAATTCTATGCTCCTAACAAGGGCTTTTCCTCATAGTCTTTCCTACTAAAAAAAGACCAAAAAACACATTTCAAAACTAACACATTATACATAGTCCATGCACAGATTTGGTTTCCCCTAAATTTGCAAAGACATGAAATAAAACAAACAAACAACAACAAAAGCCACAGGCTGAAGTGTCCAACTGAAATTGAAAGAGACAACTTAAACTATGTTATTAATGCTCTATCCATTGTGCTTGGTTTCACTCTACCTTCCTAAGACAGTTAACTCTTAAGACACATCTGAAGGACACAATGCAAACTAAGAACATAGTATTTGACAGCCACAATGATGAAAATAAGAACAAGGTAAAATTATTGTTCTCAACAAATCCACAACATGCTTATTGACAAAAGTTAATTTTCCCCCTCCTTCCCTTTCACAAATTGGGGGAGGAGAAATGAGGGTGTGGGGGGCAGGGAATTGAGAACATCCACAGCTTTAGATGCAATATTGGTCTCCTTTAAAGTATTGTTAAAGCTTTTTTTAATACAAAGTCACAAATGTGATGCAGTAACACACTGTTTCTGTTTGATTCTTTAAGAGATCTCCTACATGGTTGACTTGTATTCAAAAACTTAAGTTTCCTTTAAATAAAATTTGAAAAGGTTAACAATTGGTTTCGCAACCTCACAATCTAAGCAACACATGGAAAGTGAACAGGCTTATATGGTGAAATAAATTAACTTTTAACATTGTTCCAGTTTCAATACTTCATGCTGATTTCCAGAGATGATGAAGATGACCTGTACCCAGATCTTAAAATCTCATTAGCAAGGCACCTAAAAAGACCCATTCTGTAAGCAAATAACTAATTTTTCACTTTAATTGAGGCAGTTTTCATAATCACTCTCATACCTCCCTTTCAGGTTTTCAAGTTCTCTGTGATGAAGCATGCTTCTCATGTGTTCATTCATTTCCTACAAGGAAGAAAAAAAACATAACTCATAACTAGTCTAAAGAGCATCAGCTCTAAAAAGTACTTTCTTGGGAATTATGTAACCTGCTTTGCAGAAGGGTGTATTCTGCTCCAATAGTTTTTGCTTCTGTGGTCACATGTCAGATACAAGAGAAGAGTTACACTCTCTACCCTCTGTCTCAGCCTAAAAGATAGATTTTTAGGATATGTATGGAAGGAGATGTATCGCTAGAGGGTGAACACAGGTGCATAATGAATGAGACAAGGGCTTCAGTAATTACAAACACTGTGCAGCACAGAGTATTCCATCACTTTCCTCAAATAGCTGTAAACAGTAGTATATTTTAACTATTTCATACAAGCCATAATGTGGACAATACTATTAAGCACTCAGAAGTAAGAATATTTATAATTTTAAAAAGATTGCTAGTGCAATCTTAACTATATATTGGTACATGCATTACACCTATAAATTACATCACTGTTTGCTATTTTGCTCTGCAGGACCTATTCCAGCTTCCACTTCCTGTTGCCACGTAGGGGGTGGGGCAAGGCAGAACAGCGGGCAGGACCAGAAGAATATGACAGAGGGCACTGTGTGGCATTGTGCAGTGGGGAAACCTATAGCCTGGAGCTGAGGGTGACGGTTGGGGTGCCCACACAGTGCAGCACGCTCCAGCAGGAAATGCCCATACAGCCTGTGGCCCATGCTAGTGCTGCCCCTGTCTGCTTGGAAGTTAGACAGCCCTAGTCTACAGCAATCATGATTCTCACTGCATGCACACAAACAAAAAGTAGGCAGCTACTGGCGGTGGGAAAAATACTTATTAAGGAGCTGGAAATAACCCAAACCCAGAAATCTGTTCTTTCCCTGGCCTCAGCCAAAGACTTCCTGTGAGAGATGCCGCCCCTCAGATCCTCATGTGCAAACAGGAATAGCACCTTCCACCATTGCAAAAGCATTATGGAAAAAAAAAAAAAAAAAAGATTTGTGCATATTTGTGAGGTACTCTATTATGCAGTAAACACATGCATTAAAAAAATACAAATTCATTTCAAACAGTAAACAAGGTATAGGTATAAGTATACTGTGAATGATGATGTTAATGAAAAAATAAGTTGCCATGATCTTTGAGCCTTCCGTAATGAAGAGGCAAGTCACAGGGGACAGGTAGGAGTGTGTTTTCTAATACTCTACACAGCAAATAATTTTCACATAAAAATATCAACATTATTATATATGTATAAAAAAAATAAAAATTTTTTTTTTTTTTTTTTTACCTTTTTTGAGCTGTACACAATATGACATAACATGCATCTTCGTTGTCGCACCATAATGATTTCTCTGGAAAGATCTTACCCTGTGCCTGGAAACAGGAAAGAACATACAAAAGCTTTTTTCCACTAGTCTGACTTGCTTAAAGACATTAAAACAAGTTACTTCTCACCAAAATGCTCCATGTTAGAATAGTCTCTCTTCTTTTCCTCTTTAAAACAATACCTCTCTCTCATATACAGGCCTTAAACTATGCTCCAGATTAATACTTCTTTTTTTACCTAATCACTGCACAACAGAAAGCAATTTTGTTTCCAAGACAAGGTGCCTGCTCCATAAGCAAGCAGGTAGTGGAAATGGTGAGTTCACCTCACCAAAGAGGAGACCATTATATTCAGTTGAAATGATCACAAAGGATATTTAAGAAATTTAGGAGACAAGTGAAATTAAAGCAAATGAAACTGTGATGAAAATTTGCACCTCAAACATTGAAAGTAGTTTTGGTCCTCTGCCTCAAAAGGGATCTTAGAACAGGAGTTGGCAACCTAAGGCCAGCAAAGAAGTTGGCTCATGCAGCACAGAGAATCAGCAGCACAGGAGACAAAGTGATATCTACATAGCAGCTTTAAAACTAGAAAGAGAAAGTTTTTTCACACAATGTGTAATTAATTTGTGGGACTCTCCCCCAAGGTGTTGTGGAGGCTGATTGTTTAAACACAATTTCAAAGGGACTGGAGAAGTTCATGGAGGAAAGATCCATCAGCCAGTACTGAACATAGTACATAAGGGTATAGTCCATGAATCAGAACTTCCACTGTAATTACAAGCATTCAGAGGTCGAGGGAGGAAAATTCTGTACGTGCCCCATTTACCCTCTCCCTCAATAATTGCTCTCTGCCATTGAAAGAGACGCATCTATTTTTTGTGCCATGACAGTGGACCTAGGCCCACCAAGAACCACAATCCCTGCCCCCCCAACTCTCTTCAATGGCTAGAGGCAGGCCACTAAGGGCATGTCTACACACTGCACTGTCACCATATGGTGTGCTACGGCAACGTAGCCATCGCATGGGTCTACACGCGATCGCCAGCTATGTTGCTGTAGCAGCATGCTCTCCAATGTAGCAGCAAAATCTAACCATGTATCACATGCATGGTGCAGTAACCACCCCATACTGTGCCATGCTTTAGGACTTCCAAAAGGAAGTATTAAAGCATGGCATGGTAGTAACGTCACCTTACAGTGATATGCAGCTACACCCTCTGTGTACAACATTATCATGTCTTGGGACACTGGGCTAAATAAACCTATGGTCTGACCCAGTAAATTGCAGTTCTTATGAAAAACAAAAAGTCTTCCAAGACTGACAACAACTTTCAAGTATAAGAAACTTAAAGCCTGTCAAAGATCAAGGAACCCCAAGAAGCCACAGACAAAGACAAAAACATTTATTTCAACACAAAGTACCAAAAATCAGGTACTAGCAGCATACTTGACACTGCTATAGAGCAAAGTCTAAGGCAGGCATGAAGTGTGTGTGCACACACAGCATTTAGAACAGTGACTCTTAAATCAGGGGCCATGGCACCCTGGAGTGCCTAAAGATCTTTTCAAGAGTGCCCCAGGGTGCCACATAGTGCTAGCACTATAAGGTGTGTAAACATGATTCACAAGATAAACGCAAACATTTAAAATAGGAATCCATAGTGTTTAAAACATTCTGAACTGTTGTGGCCTTTCCAAGTTCTCTACAACAGAGAAACTGCTCTTTTATTTTTTCCATAGTCAAAAAATGAGTGAAAACTAAGAGAAAGTGTTCTCCTAGGGTGTCTCAAGTCTAATGAGGTTGAGAACCACTGTATTAGATACTTGCATGCCAAATGCTCTTGCCAATATTTGATGTCAAATGCCTGACAAATGTGAGGTTTTAGGACCAAGTAGTCTAAGATTATTCAAAAGATCTGCACAAAAAGGAGGTTTTTAAAAAACATGAAGCATGAGCATGAAGAAAACTGCTAAAATGTTTTTAACAGGCTCTTCAAACAGAATTCACACTGAAGGTGAAAACAAGTATGAGAAATTTTAGCCCCAGTTTTCCATTATGCTATAAAAGACATGCAAACACGAGCTCAGAATGGCACACTTTCTTCTACAAAGCAGCTCCTGTGAATCCAAGAACAAAGGTTTTTTCACCAATGTAAAAGGCTTCTGTAAGTGTACAAATCCATTCTGCTTCCCCAATATCTTTAAACCAGTGCTACTTTGTAATTTAGTGGAGTAATGCCCAGCATGTGTTTACGATATTGCTTAATATTAGCTGAGTATTCACATAATTCACCATGCACAAGTGTAAAAGAGCGGTGTAGGACTCAATGGGAACAAATAGGTCAGTGGAACATACATGGCTATTAGCACCCATTAGCATGTAATATTAAAATGGCTTTTACCATGTAGAACTAATGTTACACCTGCTTTGGCTAATTAAAACATATCATAGTAACTATAGATGATTACAGGAAAAGTTTTACTGCCACATCAACTGGGTACTGCTTGTGACAGGGTACTAAAAATACTAAATGAATTGAACTGCTATTGGCTGTTGCTATGAAAAGCAAAAACCAGTTTTGTCTCTGCAGAGAGCATGTGAATCTCTCAGCCAGAGCTCTTAGGCACCCAGATTTAGTAAACAGCATGGGTGACAGAGGAAAGGCCCAAAGTCTATTTCCAACTCAGCCACTGACAGACTTGGAAAAGTTTGTATTTCTTCACTGTATAAACTTCCCTTCTCTGTGCTTAGTTTTCTCCCATTTACCCCAATGAAATTTTGAGAGACTCAACTTTGTAAAGTACTTTGCAACCATTAGAAAAGTACAATAAAATTCAAGGTGTTTGCTTAGTGATTACATAATAGAACCTTTTAGATCTTGAATACAAACCCTAAATGAGTCATTTTACTCAGAGCATAACTGTAGCCAAGACACTTGACCAACTCTGTACCTGAACCAGTCCAAAGTACTTGAAATAAAAAAAGCAGGCTCTGACTACTCCAGCACAAGCAGAGCTTTCTGTGTATATATGCCAAAATGTTTTAAAGTAAAAAGAAATACATGATACATTTTAAATTCTGAAAAGCCTCCTGGCACAACCAGGTTCAACAAGTTTTGCCTTGGATACTGCCAGCCTTCTGAATGGTTTTAGATCCCATAAAAAGCAAAACTCTATGTGAAAATGGAAATAGTGTAGATCAGCCATGGCAAACAGCAAGATAAGATGCACGTTTTGCAAGTAGTATGTAGGAAACCTGTATACTTCAATGGCAAAAGTGCCTCCTTTGTTCTATAGACCTTTTAAAAAAGAGAGGCTTCGGGATTTTAGGAAATTAATGTGCCCAAACTATGGGAACATGGGTATATTTTAACTACATTTAAGGTAAACTTAATTGTAAGAGTGGCTCCAATGTGCCTGTAGGGCTACAAGTTAGTGATACTGTGCATAAATAATACATGCAAACTACAGTCAACTCCAGTAAATTCATTATGCAAAGTGTTTGGAAAACATTTCTAGACAATAAAAATAGTCTACAGAGAAAATATGAGGCATTAAACTACTTCCTGGCACAACATTCATTAGCCCACGGCTATTACTCAGATGTCCAACCCTACCGGATAGCATACATAAAAAATGTATGGCAGGGCTAAATTTGCTGCAGATCAATGGTGGGACATTCTGACTATATAAAGCCACAGCTGAAGCAGAGCATGTGAACTGCCCAACATTCCAGCTGCTTGGAAATCCTCAGGACTCCTCAAACAGATCTTTGGTTCAAGCCCCACATAAGGACATCAGACTTTTGGACAGGCCTAACAGTACTGTATGTGCTATTGCTTGAGAAATTTGGGAACCTAGAAGTTAATCCAGGCAGACTACATAGAAGAGATACTGTTCTCAGCTTGTTATGGGGCAGAGCTTCTTTTGTTTTAGCAGCAGTCTCCTCTGCCTTCTCGATAACTGATCACAGTAGGGTCCAATGGAAGCAATTCCCAGCTGGATGCAATTGCAGCAACTGTAACAACTACAAATGCAGCAAAACAAAATGGAAAGGACAGAACTGCATGGAGAAATAGATCATTCATTATCCGGGATCCTGGTATATATCAAGAAAACACTGTGTTCGACTTATACCATATATATCAGTCGAACACGAGGTTTTCTTGATATATTTACAATTTTAAAGCAATTTGGAAGCCTACCAGTGCTTCAATCACTATAATAAAATAAATTCTAAATACCTATAAATTTTGGTATTTGATTTTGGGTTTTTTTATCATGGAAAAAAGATCAGGGGTCCCCTTGCCCCCTTCACTCACCAGGATGCAGATCCATGCCCCTCACTCCCAAGCCACAGCTCCTCACCCCTGCTGGTGCTCCTCACACCCCCCACCCCCCTCCCCCAAGACCTCACTAGTGTCCCTCACTCCCCACCACTCACAGCCCCCCAGCCCAGCTGGTGCCCCTCAGCCCTGACCCACAGCCCCCTGGGACCAGGGACCTGGGTCTGCACCCCCCCAGAGCAGCACCTGAGCCCTGGCTGCTGCCTGCAGGAGGCAGAAGCTGCTGCAGTGGAGCAGAACATGGAGCCTGGCTTCCCCCCCACTGCTGCCTGCTCACTGCATGTTCAGGTAGGGGGTGGGACTCGGTCCCTGCCACTGTGCACACTCCTGGGGGGACCCATGCCCCCCAGATCTGTGTGCAGGGTTGGGGGTGGGCAGCCACAGACTCCCTGCCCTGCTGCCCTCTCCCGGGCCTCTGCAGCCCAGTGGCTACAACCCAGAGCTGTAGAACAGATCAGGCAGGCAATGCAGAGCAGACCGGGTCTGGGCTGTGCCCGAGTTTTGGCTGATCAGTTCCAACAGGGATGAATCCGGAGCAGGCATGGGGCAGTTTCACAGTGCATGAGGGCTCCAGGCTGTTGTGGGGCAGGTGCAAAATGGCTTAAGCGGCATGTGCAGGGGCTCCCACGCACACCCCACCATATCCGCAAGCCCCACAACCACACCCCACAAACACCGCATCCACTCACATCCTTCCCA